AAACAGGTCGTCGTAATTACACAACTGGGTAATTATTACCCTAGTAATTACACCAATTCCAATTACCTGGTGGCTTTCCAAACAGACCCTAAAGATTGCTATGTTTTTGGGGTGTTTTTCGGTTGAGAATCTTTTTTATAACTGGAAATACAAATTTTGCGTGCTATTTTAGGAGTCTATTATGTTAATTGATTCACTTTCCGTTATTTTAGGAGTCTATTATGTTAATTGATTCACTTTCCGTTTAAAAACAACTGAATAAATCATGAATTGCGCTATTTACGTTACTGTATTCACAAACAGGGGCGGATTTACGCTTACCGAAGCAGTGTCACGCGACACCGCTTCGTCGGAAAATTTTACTAAATATATGTATTTATGCTATACGGAAAAAGATAAGTAGAAAAAATGACACCACTTAACATAAATTGTGTCTTGGTGTGTTGATAATGTGCTTGATTTTTCTTCAAGAGGTCAAAGGTTCAAACCTCAGCTAACACATTTTTCTTTTGCAAACTAAGGTTATTTCTTGTCAAAAGAATGATAATCAAAGTTATATTTCAATTCTTTTATAAATTTCGACACCGCTTATAAAAATTTCTGCGTACGCCCCTGTTCACAAATACATATGGTGAATACAGTCGAATACAATAATCTGTCTAGCTGTAATTCTCTGTTTCACGCTGTGAATACAGTCGAAGACAAAAATCTATCTAGCTGTAATCCCTTGTTTCACGCCTAGAAATGCTACTGTATTCATGAATACAGTAGCTTAGATACATCGAATACACTCTAAAAACCTGAAAACATAACTATATGAAGTATTATAGTAAATGATAGTTACAACTAGCTAATAACCACTAAAACATAGTGGTTCTGAAACTTTCTCTTTATGATAAACAAAGAGGAGCTTACATATTTCTTAATATGGTGCAACACTATTTGCTTTGAGTCAAATTCATACTGTTTTTTTCTAAAAGATTCACGCCATTAAAAATACGTATCTTATTTTTTTATCAACTTCCCGTAAATGGTTGTATTCGCACCTAACAACTTTTCCCTAATAAAGAAACTAATCACGTCTTATAATAACATTAACGAAACTTTAAAAAAAATGTCCTAAATTGAAGATTGAACAGAAAAACTCGAGACGTTTTATCAGGGGTTAGAAGATTATGTCAGATTCTATTCTATTTTATTTTAATGTGTATATTTTCTTCTGCTTGTTAATTGTTATTGACTGCAGACAATGTAATATTGGTAAAAATTGTGTGGGGTAGCTATATTTTAAAGTGGTATTTACTTTTTATCCAACATTTTTAATACTGAACAAAAGTAGCCACTAGTCTATTAAAATTAATATAAAAAAACAGTGTTACCCTTTCTTTCCCAAACGGAAATACGCCATTTTCAGATTTTGTACAACAGAGCAGTAGCCGAAGTTCGTTGTATTTGCAGCTGCTTCAACTTCCATGGATATCTGTGCAGGCACGCGTTGTATGTACTGAACTTCAATGGTGTGGAAGAGATCCCTTCAAAATACATTTTATAAAAAGGATTACAAGCGATTATGTGCATCAGATCTTGAATCCAGTTATACTGAGTCTACTGAATACGTTCAATGGTTTAGCCAGTTGTATAAAAGTGCATTACAAGTTGTGGAGGAAGGGGTGATTTCCCTGGATCATATAAAGTAGCTCTAAATGCATTTGAAGAGTCTCTGACCAGAGTTCACCACATTGAAGAAAAACTAAATATAATTTCTTTGTAATTAACGTACTACATAATAAAAATTCTTTGTAATTATTTTGTATTTAGTCCTTAACTTAGAGTTACAAGCATAGAAATTAAGGATAGGTAGTCCTGAACTTCGAGTTCCAAGTTCAAAAGTTAAGGACATGTAGTCCTGAACTTAGAGTTACAAGTTCAAAAGTTAAGGACGGGTAGTCCTAAACTTAGAGTTACAAGTTCAAAAACTAAGGACAAGTAGTCATTAATATTTACACAGCATTCATGAAGTTAAGGACACCATGTCCTTAATATTTTACATAGCATTCATGAAGTTAAGGACACCATGTCCTTAATATTTACACATCATTCATGAAGTTAAGGACACCGTATCCTTAATATTTACACAACACCCATGTATAACACAGGGGTATTTTCGTCGGAACTCATTGGAGTGAATGCATTCATGAATCATGAATGAAAATAATGAGAAAGACAGTTCGATTACGTTATTTCTGAAATAATGAAACAAAGAATACTTCATTATAATAATTAATCAAATACATCACATGAAAACATATCCAAATGCAACTTCACAAAAGCATATGTAACTTCTTTACAAGGCAATGTCACTTAACTTGTTAAAGTTAAGAGCCGAATCTTAGCCTTTTTCTCTTTTCACTTTTATGGTACGCTTCCCTAGACTTCCTCTTTTCTTCATAATCTCCATTTCAGTTAAGCCTATGCATTAATCTCTTTTTAAAAATAAAAAAGACAACATAAAAATATTAAAAACAAAGAATGCAATTTGACGTTGATCGTGTACGTATTCTTTATTTACCTGCAAAAAGTTTAAACAGAAAAGGAATCAATTAAAGTCTACGTACGTAAATGACAGATCAAACAATTGTATATGAATTTAAAACTGATCTAAAAGAAAAAAGGAAAAAGGCAAAAGGTGAAAACTGAAAAGTTGTTACCATCTCTTTTAGAAATTTCAAGGGATAATACTAAAACAATCAAAAGAGCAAACGAAAAGAAAGAAAAAAAGAAAATATGAATGCTTACCATTTCGTCCAAATGTTCTTCTTATGAAAGTTAAGAAAATGATGAGAAGTGCAACCCCTGCTAATAATCCAATTATAAGTGCAAATGTCTTCTCATTCTCAAAATGAGAACCTGCGATAAATAAATAGCACAGAGATTTAATTTATATAGTAGATTTACATATATTCACATAATGGGACAATAATTTGACTCTCTGTAATCCATGCTATCAGCATTGTAAAACCAACCCCCCACCCCCCTCTTCTGTTTTAGTTATAACTTAGTAATTTAGAGATGCGAAATCCAAAGAAAAGGTCGAATAATCAATTGATATGAATCTTGCATATTGAATTTATATATCGATTTCTCTTGAAAAGTTCCATATATTTCATTGCTATGAAATGTATAAGAATCAATACATTGTTGTACAATGTATATAACTTATTAGAAGGTTATAGGAGTAAAAATAATTTAGCGATAAGCCCATCAATTCACTTATTATCTATAGATAAAAGGTTCGAATCACATTTAAGAGTATGAATCACTCTATTCCTTAAGAGAGAACGTAAGATACAACACATGTCTTAAAAAAGTATTTAACTTTTATTCACTAACCATGTAAATTTTTTCGACATTGTTAGATTAAGATGACTTATGAAAATAAGTAACTACCTATAATGAATCTAATTTGGTGATTCAGAAAACAAAGTAAATATCTATTATAATAGCTAATATATTAAACTTATAGTGTTAAAAGAATTATTGACAATGTATATAAATTAAATCACTATTTTTTTCCTTACCGTGATTAGATTTGGCATCAAAATGAGCTCCACTAGTTGTAAACCTAGCATAACATTTTCCCAAAAACATATCCCCATACGCTGCTCCACTACACTCACTTTTCAGCCGTCCGATTGCTTCTGATAAACAATCTTGACACTGGCCATTACTCAAATCACCAACACATTGGGCCACACCATGTACATCTAATGACCCACCAACTCTATAAAGCCCACCAGCCCCATTTAAGCTTGTCAAAACACGGCCCATAGAATCCTCATCAAGCCCATTATTAGACGGCCCACATTTATTCAACACACAACTCTTGTCCTCAACACCAAGAAATGAAGTATTATCATACTTTACAAAACACCCTTGTAATTGTAAAGCTCCACCACAGTTTTGTGAACAAAGTTTATCAACTTGACTCACTGCTTTGGCTACACAAGTAGCACAATCTGGCATCGATAAATCGCCGCGACATTGATATACGCCGTATAATATGTCTTGTTTTGTTGATCCCATGATACTAAATTTGTTGTAAGATGAGTAAGTGGCTGAGTTAATAAAGGATGTGAGAAGGGAGTTGAGGTTTGATTCGTAAGGTGAGTTTGGTGTGTATTTTATTTGTGAACAGCCACCGTAGACGAAAGAATCGATTGAAGAATCGGAGGAGATGACATGAAAGAAGAAAGAAAGGGAAATGGCTATAAGAGTAAGAAGAAAATGGAGTTTTTTGGCCATGTTTGCAATTGAGAGAGTATGTACGTAATATGACGAGAGAGATAGAGTGTGTGTGTGTGTGAGAGAGAGATGTATTTCTATGGCTGTTTCAACTAGTATTTAAGCACAATTGCAAAAAGGTTTGAGTTCTTTTTTGGTTATAGTTTTTTATAAATACATGGCATGCAAAAAGTTTAGAGGGAGAAAAAAATAATAGAAAGTTATGGTGGCCAGCCTATTCGTACCTTTTCATTTGTTACCTTTTGATAAGATATTTAAAAATGTAAAAAGAGAGTAACTTTTCTTGGTTACTTAACCAAGCAAAGTTTTGCTTTTCTTAGCTATAGTATAATACTATTTTGTCTCTCATTTAATTTACTATTCTTTTTAATAATTGATACAATTGATCTTTATTGTTAATTCTGATCCAAAGAAACAAAATGTTTAACATTTCACGCCGTGTATTCTTTTCTGATTATATAATTGACGAAAATCAGATTAATACGTGGATTTTAGTGTTTGTTTTCTGTGATACTTTTGATAAATTCTTATTCATTCTCATCTTTTCAACTATCAAATTATTCATTATCGCCTTCCAATGTTGTCATTTAAATAAATATGTTACGTGTACCATTCTCGAAAATTTTACAGAAGCTATCTGCCTAAGAAACATTCTTAGACATAAAAACACAAAATTAAGCAAAATTATGAAACAAGTCGAGAGAAAAATTAAGCGAAAATTTTATTAATCAAATAGAATTATGGCAATGACTGATTAAATTTCCTAAGCACATAATTTCAGTAGGGTGCTACTTTTCTGCTGGCTTTTTGCTACATTAAAACTTTGAGCAAAGGACTGATCTCTAGCAGCTGGATGTTTGATTATCACTTCATAATCTCCATGATATAATGAAGTCTCAAAGTAACCATTATCATTAGTAGTCCCAATTAAGCCCTGATGACTTAAGTGTCTTATAAAATTATCCACAACATCCCCAGTTGGCAAATTATTGAAATCATTATCAGTTAAACACATTTTATAACATCCTTGTGGTTGCCATGGTGACCAAATCATTATTCCACTTACTGCTGGATGTGCATGAAGTTCCCACATTATGTCATTCAAATATTCTGCCTGCAGTAAAAAATAAAAATAAAATAAAAACCGTCAAAAATTAATGATGAGTTTAATTTTTGTGCATGGACGATGTGTATGTGACCTACAATAATAAATATGTGGTTATATATAGTAAGTTTGATTCGATAACTTGAAAAATAAAGTAAATTATCACAAGTTAACTAGTGACCTACAATAACAACTACGTACGTGTCCATAGTATGTAACTCTGATTCGATAACTAGAAAAATAAAGTAAATAATTACAAGTTAAGTGACCTACAATAACAATTACGTGTCTATATATAGTAAGTCAGATTTGATAACTTGAAAAATAAAGTAAATAATCACAAGTTAAGTGACCTGCAATAACAATTACGTGTCTATAGTAAGTCTGATTCGATAACTTTGAAAAATAAAGTAAATAATTACAAGTGACATACAATAACAACTACGTACGTGTCTATAGTAAGTGTAATTGATAACTTGAAAAATAAAGTAAATAATCACAAGTTAAGTGAGGGCTAGCTTTACCTGAAGGGGTCTGCTTGAAACATCCAATTCTGTAATCCATATAGGCAAATCTGCAGTTGCAAGAATATCAAGTGCACTTCTAATATAAGGTATATTTGGTGTATCAAAATGACCTTGAAGTCCAATTCCAAGAGGTCCATCATATCCCATTGACCTAATTTCCTGAATCTTGGCTAAGTAATTTACTGGATTTGCAACCATATCATCAGGATTTTCAATAGTACTATACTCATTCAAGAACAAAATAGCACTGCTATCCATATCATGAGCCTTCTTGTAAAAATAAGCCGAGGCGTTTTCGCCTAACTGACTTTCTAAGTATGAAAAATGTATGTTTTCATTGTCAACATCCCAATGCATCATTTGGCCTTGATATCTTGGTACTAACGAGTAAAATCTCCTTTCAACTGCAGCTGATAATAGAGGAGGTGACAACGTTTTCGCCCAAGATGGTAACTGATCTTTATTTTCCCAAACTATATTGTGTCCGCGGACTAACATGCTATAATTCTTAACATATTGAAGCATGTCATCAGCCAAATGGTAGTCTACTTTGCCCTGAATTGGCTCAGTAAACCACCACTTCATTTCGTTCTCGAAAACTGTTAGCTTGAATCTGGAATTGTACCATTCTTGATAACCTACATTGGTTAATATGTGAGGGCTTATAGCATTGCCTATTGAAAATGCAGAATTTATCTGTTTGATCAAGATTGTAGCATTGGCTAGTGGTTGGCCTTGAGAATCAATAGCTTGTAATTTCACCTTGCTCTTTCTAGTCTGCATATTTCATTTCAAATCCCAATTAAAAAAAATGATATTTGATAACAAGATTTCAAAATCTAGTGGCATATATTTAGAAAAATTGTTCTTTTATTTACCTTTTCAATGCTTTGATTTTGATGGGATTTCCACTCTAACATTGTGAATGGCTTTATGGAGATGCTATCTGCCCATAATTCAACTAAACTAATTTCCTTGCTCTGAAAATAAAACCATGTATGTCAATGTGAACCAAAAAAGAAGAAAGAAACAAATTGTAACAAGGCAAAATAAAAGGGCAGCCCAGTGCACTAAGCTTCTGTTATGCGCGGGGTTCGGGGATAGCCGGACCACAAGGGTCTATTGCACGCAGCCTTACCCTGTATTTCTGCATGAGGCTGTTTTCATGGCTCGAACCCGTGACCTCAATGGTAAAAAAAATTAATCATGCATTTAGTACTAAATAGAATTAACAAAGTTGGAAATGGAAGGCATAAAAAATTTCAAATCCAAATAAATTAACCTCAAAATATAGCTCAGAAGGGCCAGAAAAATTTCCATTAAAACCACCCTTTAGCATAGACCAACAGCCAGATGTTGCAATAGTCCAACCTGTTGGAAAATCACCATATGGTGTTCTAACCTTTGCTACAACATCAGCATTTCCTTGACTCACTTGTATCCATGCTACCAAAATGACAAAAATAAAAGTTAATTAATTAATTCACCCAAACTAAACAAATCGAATTCATGTAATTGATTTAACAGTGTAAAAATATCCTTCACATTATCAATAATTTAACCTGTATTTTATGTATAGTAGGTTGCTTATTTTGTTTTATGTGACACTAAATTAGACTTATTATAAACAGTAGTTATATATCGTTGTATAGGTCATACACTTTCGTTTGAGAAAATTCGTAAGCTTATTTAAATTAAAATAATAATGGAAACAATGTACCTGAAATAGTGTACATTTTGTCTTTCTCAACATAAAATCTTTGAGAAAAACTATCAGATGGTTGTGTTCTATGAGAAGCAACAATGAAGACATTGCCTTCTTTTGATGTTCTTGTCTCAATTTTTGCACATCCAAATTTTGTCCATCCATTTAATCCATCATTTAGTTCTGGATTTATAGCAATTCCTCCACTATATTGTGGATTTAGAGGTCTTTCCAAACACTATAAAAACATGCATAGTAAGAAAAATCCATCAATTCAAAATATATTTTTTTTGAAAAAAGAATTTTAATATATAGGGAAATACATGTAAATATATCTTATAAATCTTGCCTTTGAAGTGAAATAGTAGTCATAGCCTATGGCATACACTTGAAATCCTGCAAAAAAATATTGTCATTTAAAATATAAGGAAAATATAAGGTAATTTATAACTTAATGTAATTTAGGGGAAAGATAAATTAACCTGCAAAAAGGAAGTAACAAGATAAGAGTACAACGTGACACAGAACATTATCATTTCTCTTGAATGTCTTCATAGTTGCAATTTTCAATGTTGTGAAATCATAAAATGAGAGATAAATTTATATGTAGCAAAGTTTCCATAATTAGTTGCTCAATGAATAATTATACTAGAATTATTAAGCATTCTTGGGCAAGTTAGATATCAAGCATTTTTAGTGGATTTACTTGTATCTTTTTTTTTTTTGTTGCAAATACCTGTTGTAACAAGTTAGTTGCCTTCTTAAATTATTAGGTTGCTAATCCACTATATTACGAATGAACGATTACTTGTAGTTATTTTTTAACAATTCTTACAACTGAAAAAATTTATGTTATCAAGGTATAAAAGTTAAACTCTTTTAGTTACCACCATGAGTTGTGTTGGGATGGATAGGATCCCTCTATCCTTAACAAGAGGTCTCGAATTCGAGGTCTGGCATTGAAAAACTCTAGCGTAAATTCAAATTAGTCGAGCCAGTGAATTTCGACTACCAAATAATTATAAAAAAAAATACTTTTAATTTAGCACGTTATTTTCTTTTCTTTCTAGACTACTTCGTTTAGGGTCATAAATTAACGAGTAATTCTCATTGGAAAAGAAGCTCATTATCCTTAGACGATCACCATGGTTTCATTTAATTACTAATTTTCAGTAACAATCACTTATCCTTAACCCCGTCCACAACAAACAAATCTCCCTCAAAAAAGAAATGAAAATAAGAATAGAAGTATAGAACTGCACAAAGAACAAAAGAAAGGAAATTAATTAAAGGAAGTTGTTAACATTAATTCATGAATTCAAGGCAAATTGTCAGAGAAATTATTGTGTTGTATTTGTATTTGTAATATTGCCCACATGGGTAGTACAGGAAATAATACCAAAAAGAAAATGTAACAAACTCCATTAATTGAACATGTGGCTTCTAACAAACTGAATTAACCAACTAACTATTCCCAGGTAATTAACAAATTCGACCAGATATTTTTCATCTAAGCTAAATTGTTGCCAATACAGAAAATACAAATATTGTTACTTCTATCACCATTGACTAAAGCCGGACCCAGGATTGATGGTCACGGGAGCACACCATTATATTCGATATAAATTTTTCACTGCTCATAACGATTGTATAGGGCCATATATTAATATCTGACTATTTCTTGAAGATATTTACAAGTATATATGGAGCTTTTCCCAAAGTTTCTGAATGCCGGTGATCCCTCTCCCTACCATGTATGTCCGCCTCTGTCTATATATCACTCTCCCTCTCAAGTTGGTGTTGGGGTGAAACCACACACTCTACTTGGAACAAGTGTCATGATTCTAGCAAACATGACATCAGTTGGCCAGGGGTAGATTCATGATTTAAACCTAATTGGTTCAAAGTTGATTTTACGAATTTTTAATATTTATTATTTATAATATTTACAATTTCGCGCGCGCATATATATATATATATATATATATATATATATATATATATATATATATATATATATATTGGATTCAATTAAATCAATACTCAAAACTATAGGTCCGGTTTTGCTGCCTGTTGTCAATCTCTGGATAAGTAATTAAGACAATATGACAATTTTTTTTACAGGAAGATAACGGTTCGACTTAATGTGTTTGGTTCTTTTTACTTCCAACAAATAGGATTATGTTAAGTTGATCATAAATTAGAAATACTTTTACTGAAATATGGGCAAAGCTGCATAAAAGGTTCAAATAAATATAAATCACTGTTGGAGATAACATTATATTGGATAATCATTTTTAGAGGCCACATATCTATTACCTCTGCACTGTGATGCTTCATTTAATTTTACATAGCACTGACTGGGACTTATTTAGGTTTATGTTGTGCAATTTATAGTGTGCCAAACTATGCTTTACTGTTTTTCCTTTATAAGATAGCATTATTGTTTTTTGGTCGACGTAGTCTTTGCTTTCTGGTGCAATGGTGAGTTGGGCTTTGTCATGACTCGGATTTTCCACCCTCGGGGGTCGTGGTGGCGTCTACTAATGGAAGCTAGGCAAACTAATTGTTCCAATTACTTAACCTTTTTCTTGTGTTTTAATCCTTCGACAATGGTGAACAATATCATATAAACAACGGAATTAAATAAGCGGAAGAAAAGAAATGTAACGATTTAAATATTTCCAACACAATTCCATAACTAAAAGCTACCCAGATCTGGTGTCACAATTTCACAGACTGTCTAAGAGTACTACATATAAATGTCCGAAAAATAAGTACAAACTGTTTTAGAAATACATAGAGGAAACAATAGAGAAAGATAGAAGGAGACGCCAAGGCTTGCGGACGCCAGCAGGACTACCTCGGATCGCCTGAATGGACTGAAGACAGCACCCTCACTGCGGTCCAAATGCTCCGATATCAGTATCTGCACACAGTGCAGAGTGTAGTATCAGCACAACCGACCCCATATACTGGTAAGTGCCTAGCCTAACCTCGGCGAAGTAGTGACGAGGCTAGGACCAGACTACCAAATAAACCTGTACAGTTAAATCATCTACATCGGAAAATAAAAGCAGATATTTATAGTTAAAGATGGGGAGGGGAAGACATGCTACGGGGAGTATCGGATAACAACAAAATATCAAAGAGGAATGTAAAGAACCCATAATTTAGTTGCCAACAATAATGAGGAAAACAAACACAGTATTCACTTTCATTTCTTTCTTGTTGCAGGCGTGCAACCCGCTCCCATTTCATATATCTCGTTGCAGGCGTGCAACCCGCTCCCATTTCATATATTACCGTTGCAGGCGTGCAACCCGCTCCCATTTCATAT